CGCTACCCAGTGCTTCGCATCATGCGGTGGCCCAACTCCAACTTTCCAGCTGTTCTTGGGCTCCGTGCAGGTGGCGAGTCGGACCGGCTGGAGGCCGAATCACATTCTTCCAGTTGCGCGGGTGGGCCTGGGAGGAGTGGCCAGAGGGGGTGGGGAGGTCTCTCGTCTGCCGTGGATGCTACTGCTCAGGCCTTCAGTGTTCCTCCGCCTGCCGTCGCCTCCAACCGGGGCGACTTCGGTGGGTTGTTCACTGACGTGGCCCCGTCGATGCGAGCTTGGCGTGATGACCCCCAGGCTTCTGACGTTTTCCTTTTGTCCTTGGGGCAGCAGATCCAGGACGACCTCGGGAAGCGCGTTAAAACCTTGGGGCTCGTAGGGCCCATCAGATCTCCAAAGTTCCCGCGGCTTGGAGGCCTACCAGCACCTTCGACAGATGTGGGTCCTTGGTCTCCGACCCCCAGGAGCTGCTCCGTTCGGAGCGCGACATGTTCGGGGCCCTCTGGAGGGCCCATGAACCCCCTGGGCGCCTGCGGTGCTCTAGGCTGGAACCGCTCCCCTCGATGTCCCCCGATGAGATTCGGAGGATCTCGCGATCCTTTTCCGGGGGGTCAGCTTTCGGGCTGGACGGCTTCCACATGCGGCGCGACCAGTATATGTCCGACGCCTCGCTGCAATGCTCGGCGCAGATTTTCTCGGTGGCTGAGTCCGCGGCGCTCCTTCCCAAGCAGCTCCGTGTTTTCATTGTGGCTTTGATTCCTAAACCAGTCCCTGGATCCCGTCCGATTGGGGCCTTCGCGAGCCCCCGCCGCCTCTGGGGGCGTTGCAGGAGACCCTGGGCTGAGGCCTGGGAGCTTGATCACGATCGGCCTTACTGGGCCGCTGGGAAATTTACAAGCGCCACGGACACTGCGCGGAGACAGGCTGCGAAATCGGAGACCAGCACGGTCTCGCAGCTCCACTCAGGAGGATTATTCTGGGACATGCTGGAATATTACGAGCAGAACCCCTTCGCGCTGCTCGAGCAGCGGTGCCGCGGGTTTAACATCCACCCTGTTATGACGAGGGTCTGTCTCTGCGCCTACCGCTCGGCCAAAATCATGGCCCTGTGCGGTGTGGTCGCCCCCGCTCTTCACGCCGGGTTCGGCGTTGTGGCTGGATGCTCGATGGCGACTTCGATGATCAAAGTGTCCGGGATCGATTCGTTTGACACCGTGCCCCGGGGGCCGAATGCCGCTCTCGATATCTATCTATACCGATGACTCGGGATTGAATTGCGAAGGCGCCATCAGCCACATTGCATCCAGCCTCCGTGTTTCTGCGGAGGCCTTGCGAGTTGCCATCGCTGATATGATGCAGGCCAAGATTTCCGTGGACAAGGTTGCTTTTGTTTGGAGCTCCAGGGTGGTCGCTTCCCGTCTCCAAGACGAGTTTGGGGCCCTTGTTGGGCCGCGGTGCGTAACCACGGTCAACCTGGGGATCGATGTTAAAGCCGGCCTGCCTCGCAGGGTGCGCGGTAAAAAATGGCAAGGCGAAGGCTCGCATCTCAGCGGCGGCGCGCCGGACACGCCGCCTCGCTAAGCAGCGGCCTGAGGCCGTCGAGCGACGAAGGTTTTTTATCAAAGGCCCCCTCGCGGGCCTGCTGCGCGGCTCCGAAGCCCACGGGATGTCGGATGCGAGATTGACCAAAGCTCGCCGCATGTGCGCCTCGACGGTGAAGCCTTCGAGTGGAAATCTAGTTTTTCCATTCTGACCCGCATTGAAAACCATCCTGCTTGGTTTGGCAGTGTGGCCCCCATCGTTCGGCATTTTAAGGAACTTCGGCTTCTCCAAACTCGGGCTGCCCCGTGGGCTCTATCTTGGGAGCAAATCAGGACTTGCATGGAGTGCTGCGTGTCGCTCGCCCCCGAAGTCTTGGAGATCGGTCCGAAGTCCTTTTGGAGCTATGCATTTATCGCTGCCACGACTTAACTGGTATATGGTAGACCCCTTTCACTCTGGTGGACGAAGATGGTAAACCTATTCTCATCATGCTCACACCTCCTGCTCTAATGAATCGGTTCCTCAACGCATCGGTGTTGAAATGGTTGGAGACCGAAGTGGGCTCCAAGTATTGCGACGGTCGCCGGCTTGTTTCGACATTATCTCTCGGGCCCTTGCCTCCAAACAAATATAGGAAAAAAACGGATCTGTTCGTGCTGTTGTATGTAGGGTGAGTTGGCCTTTGGCTGGCGCTCGCGAAAAAGGGTACCTGGTGGCCGACCTTTGCCTTTTGCGTGGCCAGGCTGGAGACTCAGGAACAAGACCAGAGGCTTTCGCCGAAGAGCAGCTCCCTCCGCCTGACCCAGGGGTTTGGGAGCTCTCAGGGAGGTTGTACGGCGACGGGTCCTGTTTCAGGTCTGAGATCAAGGACCTCTCTAAGGCTGGATGGGGACTTGTTTGGCTCAGCGAGAGTGGTAGAGTTTTGGCTAAGATGTACGGGCCGTTAAGAGGTTTTTTTCCTCAAACGAGTGTTGCTGCTGAATGTGCTGCCCCTGCTAATGCTGCCGCAGTCTTGTATGGAGCTGCTGATTTTTCTCTTCCGATTGCCAGGTAGTGGTCAACGAATTCGGCAAATATCACCAAGACCGCCTCCACCCTAACAGGCCCTACGCTGGACTTGTTATGCAGGCGGACGCTTTCGGTCAGGGCTTTTTCCGTGGTGTCTCCAAGGTTTGGGCACACAGGGAGGACGACGAGGCCCTTCCGTGGGCCGAGCGACTCCACATCATCGGAAGCAATGCAGCTGACGGCGCCGCCAAAGAAGGCGCTCTAATGCATCCCAGGCTGTCTGAGACGGAAACAGCTGGGATCGATGTTGTATGTTCGGTCTCTCGCGCGGTCACCCGTCTGGCTGCGCATCTGATGTAAAGATGGCCTCGGACACATTTCGAGGGGGTTGCCCGTGCCGAGCCCCCGCCCCCGAAGGTCAAAGATCCGAGGCCACCGCATGTTTGGAGTTGGGTCGGGCGCTACTGGCAGTGTTGCCACTGCCTCCGTGGTCCCGCTCCTCGGCTAAGCCAGCTCCAGGAATTTGCGACCGCCTTTTAAGAGTTGATCCCGCAAGGTTGCGGGAGCTCGAGCATCGCTGCCTCGTGGTAGATTTCAGCGACGGAAGTTTCGCGTGTGTCTGCCGGGTCTGTGCCGCGTTCACGACTGGAGGTCAGATGAGGCGGCTTGCTAAGCGATGCTTTGGCAGCCCGCCTGCTCGGAACGAAGTTTGGACGAGATTGGGCAAAGGTCTCCACCCTGATCTCAAGAGGGTCTGGGTCACTGCCGATCTCGAAACTGTTTGCCCCCTATGAGGGGCTCTGTGGCTGTAGATGTCAAACAAATCCTTCTCCTTCTCCTCTGTGTCATCCTCCTTTCTCTTTCGCTCCAAGGTGTTCCCCAATGGGGTTCCACAACAGCTGGGGGAACAAATAATCCAATAGCGTGGCCAGACTTCGCCCAACGTTTGGCCGCATGGGCGTTTCCAAAAGGCAGGGGGCGACGGTAGTTCGCCGTAGGCGTCTTCGATACTCTTCAAGCCCTCCCAATGTTTGCCGAGAAGGGACGCCCGCGCGAAACAACACGGCGACCATGCGCGGCTGCCTTTGCGGGGAGCCACCACGGCACATCACGCTTAAGGGACGGCGCTCTCGCGCGACCTTTGGGCGTGCGGCTTACGCGCGAATGTCGGCGCAGTCGGCTCAATTGTTCGGCGACGCCTAACCGCTCTCGGCGGCGCGCCCAGGGAGGAAGTGAGAAGGGGTCGGCCTTCTCAGAGGGTGGCGGCGCTTCTCAGAAAGCCCCGCCCCCTCTGCTTTGCCCCTGGGCGCGACGCCGATGTACATGTACACCAACACACCGGTACTGACAGAACCATCCTCGACCTAGACTCGGCGCATAGTTCCCCAGAAAGAACACTGCGCAGACCAAGACTTGCGGAGGTCCGCGCAAGTTGCTTGGGTCCGCGCTGGAGCTCCCCTGGCGCGTCTCGATCGCCAGGGGAACAGGATCCAGTGCCAACCCACGCAATCCGGGCGGCCCTCCGAAAAGTCAGACCTGGCTAAAGTAAGTCAGCGGTGGTGTGTGGACCTCGATATGGTAGGAGCCCGTCCACCAGAAATCCTCCACAAGAAACCCAACCCTGAGACCCCACTCTCCATAGCAAAACCATCGAAACACAAAAAACCCAGGGCACCCTGGAGGCAAGCAGGGTGTTTCTTGGCATGGGTCTCCACTGTACGAGGGTCACTGAGGTCTCGTCTCGACCCCCTCCCCGGCGGCAGCTCTTCACCCCAGACTCGTATTTGTTCGTGGTCCTGGGGCCCGAAAACTGTCTTGTGAGGCCCAAGTTAATTTCTCAGTTCTTTCATCACAACATTTTCCAGGACCAAACTCTATACACCGACGCGTTTTCTGGCCCCGCACCCACATTGGCACAGGAAAGCGGATCCTGGTGTATACGGGATCCTGATGTATACATGTTTCGTGGTTTCTCAAGGAACACGGGGACACAAAGTATACACTACACCACCCCGGCGTCGTCCCCGACCCCCAAAAAGTCCTAGGATTGAGAAGCAGCCCGCCACTGGCAATATGCTCCAATTTCGGACAATCAACAAAACAGCGACTTCCGACCAATTTGCGCCCTTGGCTCTGCAGCGGCACGGTGCATAGGCCACAGAATACCTGTCATGTCAAGGGTTAGCGAAACGAGTAAACAAGCGGAATGATCCGAGCGATAGTGGCTCTGTGACTGAGCTGACGCAGCTCAAGTCGCTGGGGAACGGCTGAAACTGAGAGGACCAGTCCGCTCGAAGGAGCGCATTCGTGAACTATTCGTGATGATGCGCGTGACCAGCCCCCGCCCACCCCTCCCCCCACCACCCTAGCCACGCACTTTCTTCTTCGACAGGGAAGAAAGCAAAAACTGATTCCAGTCCGTTTGCAGCCTGGGGACGGCGCCCCCCCGAGTCCTCCTTGCTCTCCGACGCGCCCGCGGCCAGGGCGGCCTCCTGCGCAAGGGGCCAAAATATTCCCCTCGCCCGCGGGCGAAAACAACCGTGACCGAGAGGGAGCGCGGTGGCGGCGGAGCGATATCAGGCAGAACATATACTCCAGATAATATCCCGCTATGTGCGACCTATCGTGCGCTACATATATATATATATATGTATATATATATATATTATAGAACCATCGCGCGCTTCGCGCGCGCTCAGGTTCTAGCAGGCCCCAGGCCTTGACGAATTCACTGCTCTACTGAAGCAGTGGACCACAGTCCACGCATGCCAATCTGCATTTCGACAGGCCTTCGAGGAAAATGGTTGTGTAGGGGGGCGGAGGCCGTATGAATCGGGTTCCCACAACCTTCTGGGAGCATGGGTTTGGGGCGTCTTGGGGGGCCTGTTGGGGCGTGCCGTCGTCGTCGTCGTCGTCGTCGTCGTTGTCGTCGTCGTAATGTCGTCGTCGCCCATTGGGGCGCGCCGTCGTCGTCTTCGTCTTCGTCGTCGTCGTCGTCTTCGTCGTTTCGTCGTCGTCATCGATTCGAGATGGCACGTGGGGCAGCTTTGTGCGAAACGATCTGCGGAGGACCGCGAGAAGGTGATCAGTCATGTCCCAATCAGCTTCCCAAACAGCTCTCCTGTAGCATGATGGTACTTCGAAGCCTCCGGAGACTCGCGGGCCCATGATGAACCATGTCCCCAGAACGCTTTCTGGGGACATGGTTTGTTGGGGTGTGTTGGGGGGTCTCTTGGGCGTTCCCTGGGGGCCCATTGGGGGCCTCCGGGAACTCTCGGGCCCATGATGAACCATGTCCCTGGAAGGTTTTCTGGGGACGTGATTTCTTGGGGTGTGTTGGGGGGCCTCTTGGGTGTTCCCTGGGAGCCCCTTGGGGGTCTCTTGGGGCTTCCTGGGGGCCTCTTGGGCGCCTCACGGGGCTTCGTGGGAGCCTCTTGGTGGCCTCCGGGGGCCTACAGGCGGCCTCTAGGGCCAGAGACTTCGAAATATCGGTTGGCGGTTCCCATCTGGGCCCTCTCTTGGGGAGCTCTTGGGGCACAGTTGGGTTGTCTGGGGAGCCTCCTGGGCCGTCTTGGGGCCCTCTTCGGGGCCTCTTGGCCCGTCTTGGAGCGATCTGAAGGGCCTCCGAACGAGGCCGTGAGGGAACTCTGGGAAGCCGGGAAGGCGAGAACGCCTAAATCCTTCAAGAACCATTGGGAAATCAGTGAAACTTGCCTCCCAGGGCCCTCTTGGGGAGCCTCTGGAGTCCGTCCTGGAGCGTGTTCGAGTCCTCGTCGGCCGTCTTGAGGGCAGCTTGGGCGTCTTGTGGGCCTCTTGGGACCGTCTAGGGCCCTCTCGGGACCTCCATTACCCGGTCGCGGCCTGCTTCGAGGCGGGCCGGGGCCGCCTCGGGACCCCTCTGGGCCTTCTCTTGGCGAGCTCATGGGGCACACCTGGGTTGTCTGGGGAGCATCATGGGCCGTCTTGGAGCCCTCGTCGGGGCCTCGTGGGCCTTCTTGGAGCGATCTGAAAGGCCTCCGAGGCCGTGGGGGAGCGCTGGAAAGCGGGAAAAGCGAGAACGCCAAAATCCAAAACACTCGGACAACGAGTGAATCTTGCCTTCCAGGGCCCTCTTGGGGAGCCTCTTAAATCCGTCCTGGAGCGTGTTGGAATCCTAGTCGGCTGTCTTGAGGGCATCTTGGGCGTCTTCGGGGCCTCGTGGGACCGTCTTGGGTCCTCTCGAGACCCCCTTAGCCTGTCGTGGCGCCTGCTTCGGGGCGGGCTCGGGCCGCTTCGGGAGCTCTGGACCCCCCCCCGCAACCCCTGGTGGGCACCGATGGGGGGAACAGGCAGCGGCCCGCCCCCCCCCCTCCCCGGGCCTACTCCGAGATAGAGAATCATGTTCCAAAGAAGCTTTCCGAGAACATGATTTGTTCGGTTCTCTAAGAGGGGGGGCCTCTGGGGGCTTACCGAGAGGCGCCTTTTGACCTTGTCGGCAAGCCTATTGGAAACATTGTTGGGGCGGTGGGCGGAAGCCCAAGGAATCATGCTCCTGGAAAGCTATCTGTGAAATACGATTTGCCGAAGTGTCTTGGGGGTCCGCAGGGGGCTTCCCTGGGGGTCCCTTGGGGGCCTATTGGAGCTTCCGGGGGGCCTCTTCCTGGGCCGTCTCTGAGCTTTCTTGGGAGCCTCCTCGGCCGTCTTGGAGCGATCTGAAGGGCCTCTGACGCGGTCCGGGACCGTGGGGAGGCGGAACATGGGAGAGCGCAAGAATGCTTCAAACACCATTAGAACATATATGATTTTCGGCTTCTGGTGCCCTTTGGAGGGGCCTCTGGAGGCGCTCTTGGGGCGTTTTGGCGGCGTCGTCGGCCGTCCTGAGGCCATCTTCGGCGTGTCCGGGGCATCTGGGGGCTGTCTTTGGGCGTCCTCGGAACCCGGAAATCATGTTCCCGGAGAGGCTTCCGGGGACATGAATTCGAACGAGGCCCTCTTGGGCCTCCCTGAAGCCGTCTTGGGGGCCTCCTGGGCCGGCTTCGGGGCCTCTTGGGCCGTCTTGGGGGGTTTCGTGAGCCCCACAGGCCGACCCTTTTGGGCCGTCTTGGGCCCTCTTGGGTCTCTCTTGGGCTGTCTTGGGGCTCCTCGGGGGCGACTGGGGCACTGTGAAGACGAAGCCAGCGAGTATGTACGTTTTTCCAATGGAAGTGGGCCGATGTTTGCCTCTTGAATGCCCTCTTGGGGCCCTCTTCGGCCATCTTCAAGCCATCTCGGGCCCTCTTGGGCCTCGCTGAGGCTGTCTTGGGGCCTAGTATGGGGGCCCTGGGAGCCCGGAAATCATGTTCCCGGAGAGGCTTCAACATGATTTCGAACGGGGCCCTCTTGGGCCTCCCTGAGGCCGTCTTGGGGGCCTCCTGGGCCGGCTTCGGGGCCTCTTGGGCCGTCCTGGGAGGTTCCGTGAGCTCCACAGGACGACCCTTTTGGGCCGTCTGGGGCCCTCTTGGGTCTCTTTTGGGCTGCCTTGGGGCTCCTCAGGGGCGTCTGGGGCACTGCGAAGACGAAGCCAGCGAGCATGCTGAAAATGTACGTTATTTCAAGGACATGGGCCGATGTTTGCCTCTTGAAGGCCCTCTCGGGGCCCTCTTCGGCCATCTTGAAGCATCTCGGGCCCTCTGGGGCCTCGCTCAGGCTGTCTTATGGGCCTCTTGGGCGTCCTCGGAACCCGGAAATCATGTTCCCGGAGAGGCTTCCGGGGACATGAATTCGAACGAGGCCCTCTTGGGCCTCCCTGAAGCCGTCTTGGGGGCCTCCGGGGCCGGCTTCGGGGCCTCTTGGGCCGTCTTGGGGGGTTCCGTGAGCCCCACAGGACGACCCTTTTGAGCCGTCTTGGGCCCTCTCTCTTGGGCTGTGTTGGGGCTCCGCGGGGGCGTCTGGGGCACTGCGAAGACGAAGCCAGCGAGTATGCCGAAAACATACGTTTTACAAAGGAAATGGGCAGATGTTTGCCTCTTGAAGGCCCTCTCGGGGCCCTCACGGTCCTCTTGGGGCGCTCTTGGGCGTCTTCGGGGCTTCTTCAGGCTTTCTTGACCATCTGTACGGCCCACGTGGCCAGTCGAGGGCAATTTGGCAGCGGCCCGGGGCAGTCCTGGGGGGTCTGTGACCACCCAAAGGTTCGGGGGGCCGGCCATGGGGGATGACGGCACCGATTTTGGCCCCCCTCTGGTGGCCTACTCACATACATATATATATATATATATATATATATATATATATACCCACACACACATACTAGAACCAACGCGCGCGCGCTTCGCGCGCGCTCAAGTTCTAGCTAGCTTCTCGGGGCCTCCTCCGAGCATCCGGGACTGCTTCTTGAAGTCATCATGGGACCTTCTTGGCATGTCTTCGGGGGCCTCTTAGAAAAAGCTTGAAGCCTTTTGGGAGCCGTCTTGGGGCCTCTTGGAGCCTCTTGGCGCCTCTTGGGGGCCTCTTGGGGCCTCTTGGGGGCTTCCTGGGGGCATCTTGGGGCCTCTTGGGGGCATCTGAGGGCCCGGTGGTACATAATTGCTGTGGCCCTCCTCGGGCCATCTTGGGATCTCCCAGGGCCGTCTTCCAGACTATTTGGGGCCATCTCGAGGCTCTCTTGGGGACCTCTTCAGGCTCTGGGGGCCCCGAGAAATCTCCTATGAAGGCTCCAATAGAGGCCCGCGATGGCCTCAAGAGCGCCCTGAGAGTTATGCACCAACAGAGGGCACGGTAGTACATAACTGCCGTGGCCCTCCTTGGGCCTTCTTGAGATCATCCTCCGGCCCTTTGGGGCACATCTCGGGGCCATTTTGGGGACCTCTGCAGGCTCTGGGGCCTCGAGAATCCCCCCATGGAGGCTCCAAGAGATGCCCCAGATGGCCCCGAGAGGGCCCCGAGAGTTATGTGCCAACCGAGGGCCTGGTGGTACATAATTGCTGGGGCCCTTCTCGGGCCCTCTCGGGATCTCCCAGGTCCGTCTTTCGGACCTTTTGGGGCCATCTCGGGGCCCTCTTGGGACCTCTTCAGGTCGAGAAAAACATTGGGAATCGACGATGTTACCCTCTTCGAGCTCCCTCGGGACGGCTCTCGAAGCTCTCTTGGGCCTCTCAGGGGTCAGGGGTGTGTTGAGGGTCTCTCGGGGGTCCTGGAGGCCTCTCGGAGGTCTCTAGAGGCATCCTGTCCGGCTCTTGGACCCACCTTGTGCCTGTTCTGGGGTGGTCTGGGGCTGTCCTGGGCGCCTCTTCGGCAATTTGTTCAATGGCCTGCTCCTTGTGAAGCAGATCTGACACTTGCTCGAGCAACTGATCGACTTCCTGCAGAGCAAGCTGTTGATTTTAATGCCATCACAAAATCATGATGCAGCGGACACTTCGCTACTCGAAGCTCCTGAAGCCCCTCCTTCAGGGGCGCGGCGGTTGAGAACAACTCTGGTCGATCAGAACCGCGCCGCGGTGGCGCCGGCACTCGCGCGGCTGGGTCGCAACGTCTG